TGCCATAGAGTGGCAGTCTAGGGCCATGGCCTTGGGGACACGGACCAGCTGCATAGCGTGCGAAATCCACTGAGCACTGGGACCTCAGTCTCCGTGTCTGTAAAACAGGGTCATGGACGAATGCACAGGCTGGTGTTCAGGATGGGATGTGGCACACAGTAAGTGCTCAATAAAGGCGATTGTGGCACACAGTAGGTGCTCAATAAAGGTAATTAGTGGCATATAGTAGTTGCTCAATAAAGGTGACTAGTGGTATACAGCAGGTACTCAGTAAAGGGGATTGTGGCATACACTGGGTGCTCAGTAAAGGGGATTGTGGCATTCAGTAGGTGCTCAGTCAAGGTGATTAGCTGTCTCTGCAACCGGGGCCAGGCTTTGCCCTTCCTCCCGGAAAGTTGCTGCACAGGGGACAGCAGCCCTCCATGTCCTGGCTGTCCCCTGAGCCATCGGGTCCTTTCCCCTGCTGAAGCAGGAGGGTGCGCCATGTCTGGCCGCGCAGGCACATCAGGGAAGGTCGCCTGTGATGGGCACAGGCTGAGAAGCGTGTCCCCAGGCAGAGAGACCTGCAAGGGCCAAGGCTGGGCAGGGGCAATGTGCTCACTTGTCACACGTGGCCGAGTGGCGCGGGTGGGGTGAGACCCAGGGAGGCACGGCGCCCTCCCTCCCGTCTTGCACCGGGTGTCCCCTGGCCTTCTGTCCAGAGCGGGTCGCCCCTGCCTTGAGGCCAGCTCCGCAAGGCTGCAGCAACCCCTTCCGACCACACGGGGGCAGCAGAGGACGCAGCTGGGACGGACCTCGCGGTCCAAGAGGACCCCGAGCGCTCAGGGGACTGCAGACGCCTCTGTCCCTCTCTCCTCTGCACCCAGCCTGGACAGCCCCTCCCTGGGACAGACACAGGCCTGGCATCCCGAGGGCTCCCTCCTGCCCAGGTCCTATCCTGCCATGACCATGGGTCTCTTCCTTCCTAGGTCTGTGGCTCCTGGTTTCCCTGTCCCCCCCTCCACGTCCCCAGGGCTAGATGAAGGCCCGCAAATCTCCACCACCTGGTCCCTTTCTTTGGACTCTTGGGACCTCCCAGGGGAGCGGAGGCCACATCTTCCCTGCTGCCTGCAGAGGAGCCCCTGGGGTTTGGAATGTTCTTTGGGATGCATGATGT